ACACAAATACAAAACAAAGCATAAAGCTCCCTAACCGGCACAAACACACACACACACACACACATGGATAAAGCTCACCCACATACATATACAAGCTCATTTGCAAAGATAACAAAACAAAACCGGCTTTTGTATTTATTTTTTGTTTTTTTTTTTTTTCGTTTTTTGTTTTTGTATTCGCGAGCTCTTAAGGCGACCTAATATTTCCTTTTGTTTTTACAAATTTGTTGCAAAAAGCGAAGCGCAAAAAGGAATAAGAGACGCAGCAGGCAGAGCAGCAGCGATAAGATAAGACAAAGGGCGCCTTATCACAGCTGTTTATAAATATGTATGTATGTATGCATGTATGCTCATACACATGCGGGCTATAAACAGTTGCAAATATGCATACAAACCGACACTGCATACATACATATAGTGCATGTTTGTGTGTGTGCATGGAAAAGCTTGTTCTTAACCTATACCACGCAAAGCAATTGCGATAACAAAAACACAATTAAAAGGCGCTCTCTGCTGGCGCGAGTCGCCTTCTTCGTCTTCTGCTTCGTTTTGTGTAGTTGTCTGAATGCCGAGGCCAAGAGGTAATCGCTCGAGAAGAGCACAAAGCGCAATAACAAAAACAAATATGCCAGACACAAATGCCAATGCACGCAAAAAGCTAACAACAAAAGTTTCTCTATGCTCGCACGAGAAAGAGTGTGTGTGTGTGTGTGTGTGTACAACTATTTCAAGTAGTTTTTTTTTTGTTTCATTTGCACGACTCTTCGCTGCCTGCTGCACATGTGTGCGTGTGGGTGAAGTGTTTTTGCTTGCTTCTATTTCTGGTGCTGTCTATTTGCGCAAAATTTCTCTAACTGGCGAGCGAGCGCAACAGAGCCGACTTGTCGTTGGCCAAAGAGAGAGAGGGAGAGAGGCAGAGAGAGAGCGTAAGCGCGCGAGCCGAAGAGCGGGAGAGTAGAAGCTTTGATGTTTTTCGTACGCTTTGTTGCCAGTTTTCGTTGGCGTTTTTTTGTGCCGGCACACACAAATACTAAACAGCCGGCAAATGTTTTTGTATGCTCACACACACACACATGCATGCAGACTTCGCTCTCCTTTTTGCATGCATGTGTCACAGTATTTGTTGGCGCCAAATATTTGCGCTGTTGCCGTTTTTCATAGTTTAGAATGTTTAGTTTTTTTTTTTTTTTAGCTAAGGCACGACTTTTATGTATGTATGTGTGTACATTTATTATGATTAATTCGAGATACTACTATCCAACACTGAAGCATCAGCATCAATTAGAATTTCATCCGGCTCGGTTTGATCACACCAATCGTTCAGGTCATTCAATATATTTTCCCAATCGCCATTCTCCCTGACATCGTGTGCTTTAGCCAAGCCGTAGTCATCTTCTGGTGCTTCACGTTTGGCATTGTTTTCTACCAATAGATCAAATTTTTGATTAATATCTAGATTGTTCAAACCACTCAATAATTTCTTCCAATCGTCTGACTCAACGTCACCCAAGTGATCAGCCTGATCTGCCTGACTTGCCCCCTTCTCCTGCCACTCATTGTTGCACTGTCTGATGTCGTCCTGGTTATGCCAATCGTTGAGGAACACCTTCCAGGCCTCGTGCTCATCGTGCTCCTGCTGCATCTGCTTCTTGGCCGACACCTTCAGCTCCTGGGCATAGCTCTGCTCCCCCAGCAGATCCATACTATTCAACTCCTCCAGGTGAAGGCGCAGCCAGCATCTAATCTTCGTCGGCAACTCCGAGCTGTGGCACTTTAGGCCGCAGAGCTGCATCTTATTTGGCCCCGATTTGGGCATCATTCGATTGGCATTCAGCAGACTCCTCTCCTCGGCTGTGCTCAGCAGAAACTGTATCGGCTCGATGCGATGCTTCACATCCTTCAGTATCGAGGCAATCTTCTCGTGCCTGCGCAGGATGCTCAGCAGCTTCAGCCGTGTGCATCGAAAGTCCCACAGTGCCTGCCGATTGTCTGCCGGCACCTTCTCCGTATTCCTAGTGGCAAAGATCTGAGTACATTTTGCGTGATTCACATTCGGCTTCCTTGACCGTTTGTCCTTCAAATGCTTTGGATTTCTCATCCCTGTCTAAGTTTAGTTTAGCTAACAAAATAAAGTTACTGAATATTGCGTATAAGAAACTTGCAAATGTCTTTTTTGTGGCAGAGACTACTGTAGTCTTCTATGTGATCAGTGACTCACTGTCTCACAATATGCATAAAGACAGGTCTATTTTTTTTTTCTATAGAAAATATTTAGATTTTGTTTTAGTCCCTACTCTGTTGCCTACTGCCTAACGCCTCTCTATGTGAATCTCAGGGTGAACTTTGTGTCTAATAATAAAGAAAACATTAATTTGTATACATTGATTGACCTATGGCATTTCCTGTCACTCCTTTGCTCGCCTACTTGCTAACTATGGAATTTTTAAATTGTTATATAAAATTCTTAGAGATATACTTTTATATATACATATATATATATACTGTCATAATTTTGTAATTTATGAATATAAAGATGAACTAAAATATATTTATATTTTGTTCCCTTACACCTCTCTATGGAATTCACATATTCAAATTTTCTTGCTAAAGGGCATCTTATAGTGTACTCGTGCCGCAGTGTCCTACAAACACATATGTATGTATGTTGTATGTATATCTGCCCAATCTGTCCCGTAGGGCGCTTTAATCATGCCACTTATTGTGCCTCTCGCTTTTCTATAGCTTTGATAAGTCTATATAGATGACGATTATCAGCGCAAAAACATGTTTACTTATAAAGAGAATGTCGACTTCTATTATAACAAATTAAATTTGGTTGGAATAAATTAGCTAAAGAGCTTTAGAGCAGAGAGTGCGTCTAATATATGCGCCTTTCAAATACATTATGGGATACAGAGCCCTCCCTCTTCACACTCTGATTACAAACTAGTTTTCTAGCATGCCCTGTCCATCATTAAGAGTGTCCACTGTATTTAGCCAAAAAACTAAATTTTATTTCATTTATGCTCTACTGTTTTCTACAGAGGTGAGTTAATCCCTTGGTAGCTTCAGGAGCTTGTAGGCCTCCTCTGTGTGCTTGTCCTTTTCGCGCAGGATGTTGCGGACATCGCCCAGTTGCTTGATGATGCACTGCTGCGATGCCAGGACATTCTGCAGCTTGACATCCGCGCACTTCAGCATGTACTTCATATTGGATGTTTCGGGAGCATCGCTCAATTCGTCCACCTCGATAAGATTGGGCGATTTCTTGCCCTCGCATACGGTATAGCTGAGCTTGCGATCGGGCGACAGTTCATCTGGCGGCGTCTGGCGTCCATCCAATACGTCCGGCAAATGGGGCAGGCAGCTCTGCTGCAGCACCTTCAGGCAGCCGGCCAGCGAGGTCTCAATCTTGTTGCATTGCTCCACGGCGCGCTTGATGCAGTCTGTAGTTGGTTCGTTGGGATCCATTGTCAATTTGAATTACGATTCACTTGCAGTTTTTACACTTTGTTCAATTTTTTCTCGTTTACGACAAATTCCCAACTGTATAATATAATATGTAGCTGCAATTTACGACTAGGTCGTCTGACTGAACTTCCTTAGGAATTGTTTGGGAAATGAATGTGACAGCTGGAGCAAGTGCTACTGCGATTCTATAGGGTTCCCAGCCTTGCTTAGAGAAATCGACAATTTTTGATATTTGAAGCAAAGGTTACCTGGATCTCAGCAATTCGAGAGAATAATATCGAGTGAAAATTAAAGTATAAACATAATTTAGTGTATCCTAAATAAATAGGTAAAGCTTGCTGAATTTCTATAGGTCATAAAATTGTAGTTTCCAATATATTATTTTCTTGTTAAACTTAAATATAAATATAATTAGATACTTCAAGTGTTAAAGCCTTAAATTTAAATGCATTAAGATACTATTTAAGCACATAGATACTATAAAGTCACATGTGAGATACATTCTACACAGTTATGGCATCTGTGCATTGTATGTATTTCTATTTTTCTTTTTTCTAGCAGCTACTCCTAACAGCATTTCCAGCTGGCATTCTCTTGGTATGCTCGTTCCTGCCTCGTTTCAACATGCAGCACGTGGCATGTCAAAAATTTAAAAGGCGCGCCACATCCCCGACCCGGGCGCCCCGCCCCGCCCCGCCCCGTCACATGCTCCTGCTGCGTTGCACTTGATTTACCCAGTTCTAAGCTTGGCAATTTTCAAATCGTAACACTTTCACGCGCTGCGCGCCAAAAGGAACAGCGCAAGAGGAGACGCTGCTCAGACGTCAGACCTGTCGCAACTGCACACACACACACACCTACATAGGCAGAAACACACATACACGCGCACAAACAGCCTGTACAACGGCGCTGTTAATGTGAACCCTTGCTCTGCTCTGCGCTGCTGTTCGTGGAGCCACCCAAAATACCAACAACTTTGCCTCCAACTGACAATAAAGACTCGCGACGCCAGCAGCGACGCGCGCGTCAGCAGCAGCAGTCGCGCGACAAGCACGCACAGAGAGTTTCCAACACAGACAACAGATTGTATATCTACACCAACACACACACACACACACACAAATGTATACATGCATGTATGCATACACCTCCAAGTTGCTTTTTTGCAAAAAACTTTTTTCAGCGCTGCTTTTTATACACTTTGTTTGCCTTTGTCTGTGCGCTCTCTCACATACACACACATACATACACACCCGCTCACATGTGCACATGCGAGTCTTGCTGCTCTCGTTGCTTTTGCTGTGAGTATCTCTCTGGCTGTGTGTCTGTGGGGGCCGCAGCAGCGTCGTGGATGTCGTCATCGTCGTCTTTTTGCGCTCGCTTCGTTTCATTTCGTTTCGTTTTTGCGGTCTGAGCGCGCGCGTCTGTAAAAAAGCTCTTTCAAAGTCTCTGTCGTCGTCGTTGTAGCCGCCCCCAACACACACCCCGCTAGCTTAATATATATACACATACAGATATACATGATTTTTTTTTCGTATTTTTCCATTTCTTTTGCGCTCTCCCAGTTGCGGTCGTCGTTGGCGTCGCTGTCGCTGCCAGCGTCAACGGCGCTGCTTGGCTTGGCCGCTCGCTTTCATGGGGTTCTTGAGCGTATGCAAAAGATTTTTGCACATATTCATCTTTTTGGCCGTTTTCGGTGCGTTTCGTAGAGCGCGCGTCGCGCAAAACTTTTCAGTCAACAACATTTTCGCGCTAAATTTGTCTTCGCTTTGTCCAGTGTGTTCTGTGTTGTGTGTTCTGTGCTCTGTGCTCTGTTTTCTGTGTGTTCTGATTCTCTGTGTTGCCGTTTCTGCCGTTGTCTGCATATCTTCATCTTATTCCGCCTTACAATTTCTCGTCTTCTGCTGCGTCTGCCGAGACGCCGAGATGCCGATACATCAGCTTCACTCTGGGATACACTCAGTTTCACTTCCTACATTTCACGTTGTTCGTCTCGTTCGTCCGTTTTATTTATTTACTGTGTGTTTTGTTTCGTTCCTTCTTCAACTTTAGTGTTGCGAATTTATCTATACAAATATCCTCTCAGTGTGGGTGTGTGCGTATGTGTGATGAATGTCTTGAAATTGATAAAGTGCATCAAATTGAGTTTTAAGCATGTATTTATTGAGATATTTATTTGATTAGCGACCATGGAATTGTAGGATATTGAAAATTGAAACAGTGCTTGTTAAAATAAAACTGCTATAACTCTCGGTGTCTTAAGCAATACTGTAAAATAACTACATATATTGTATACCAAAAAGTAAAAAACAGTACAACATGCTTATAAGGATTAGGAAGGACACAAATTTGCATATGTGATATATAGATATAAATCTAATAAATAAATATATAAAATGAAAAGTTATAATTAAATTTATAAAACATACATATAATCATAAGTTAAAATATGCTTTTAGTGCAAGAGATCCAGAGAAAGCATTTGTGTATTTTAATCAAAGAAATATCTTATAAAATACATGTGTGTATCCTAACATATCTTGTATATGAACTATAAAAACTGTTAACATATACCAAATAAAATATTTAAAAAAATTATTAAGTCAAAATATCTTAAAAATTAATGTTAAATAATTTGTGAATAAATACAACTTTACCGTAAATAATAATAACGAAATCGTATATCAAACTAAAAATATACATTTGTTTAAAACAAGATACTGATGTATGTAATGTATAAAATTGCATTTAAATTGTGAATAAAACACCTAAGACTATTTATAAACAAATATACAATACAAGATACAAGTTACAGTTTTTAAAATTCACACGAAAAATAAAAACTGAATTGTATATAAAATACCTAAAACTTATAAATAGTTTGAGCCATAAGCATTGAAAGTGTTTGAAACAATTAAATGCAAAAATGCATTTGAGAATAAGTTTTATTTTGTTTGGCAAATAAAAAGCCAATGAAAATGTGCAAAACCAAATGAAACAGAGAAAGAGAGAGAGAGAGAGGAGCGCAAGAGTTCTAAAAATAAGTACAGAAAAACAGTTTCAATTAATGACCAAACGCACACACATGTATTAGAATACATAGATATGTGTGTGCATGTGTGTACATATGTGCATGTTTGTATATGGATTTGTCTAGTGATTGAGTATCTTCTATTCATGGCTTGTTGCGGTTCGCCAATTTTTCGCCCATCTATTTCAACTGTTCCCATAAGTACAAATGTCGGTCTGTATACATATGTACATATGTATAAATGTGTATGTGTGCGTGAGCATTGTACGTCATCTAATCGCTTGTATTTAAATGCAAATGCGCTCTTTAGCTGACAGATTTGTCTATTTAAACTGAAGGCGTGTGGCTGCATGTGTGTGTGTATTCGTATGTGTTTATGTGCTTGCAATCGCCGGCGGCAGCGCGTTCAACATTTCGCTCTTTGTTTTTTTCTGCCTTAGATTGTATCACAATTTGTGTGTGTGCGTGTGTGTGCGTGCATTTTTTTTTTGCACTTTTGCATATGCGCTGCTGCTTTACCGCAATGCTTCATACGTTTTATTTGTTTGTTATTTGGCCACTCAAGGCGCAGTCAGCCAGGCCCACCCCCATTTTTGCAAACAGCGGCGTTTTGAACTTGAAATTTTTGTTTGTTCGCTTTTAGTTTTGCATTTCCAATACTCGGCTGCTTGTTGTTGTTTTATTGCTTTTGTCTATGCCGTTATCCTGCCAGTGGCTCGCGCTCTTTCTCTCTGCCACTCGCTCTCTCGAGCGCCCAGCTTAGACAATTGCGTGTGCCTCTGGGGCTTAGTTCGTTTCGTTTATTGTGTAGCGCCGCTGTGTAGTCAATACAAAGAGAGCAGGAGAGCAAATTGTCTGTGGTTGTATTTGTGCGTGCTTGCCATGTGGCTGAATTTCTTTTTTTCTTTTTTAGACAAACAGGAAGTGAAGGCAAAGGCACACAGAATGATATCGATTACGATAACATGCGATTGTCTGAATTGGGCATAGAAATTGTTGAAATATTGATAAATCATTTAGAGCAGTTGGAAAATATTAAACAACATAAAGAATATTATTACAATACATTAATAAAGTGCCGTCGGCCTTCACAATTACCGACGGCTTAAAAGGAAAACAATGTTTCTAATCGATTTTTGTTCTTTTCTCGTCACAGGTGCTTTTTGACTGTTTGGAACATTTTTAAAGATTACGTTAAAACGTTGTTGATACTTATTAAAAATATTGTTTTGTTAATTATAATAATAATAACAATAATAATACGAAATAATGATATAATACTAAGACTAAATCATCATAATAATGCAATTACAAATGTAATAATAATAATAATCTATAATATAAAATATAACTCATGTGCAATCAGTTAATAACTTTTTAATTTATTCATTCTAACAGTTTATTTGTATATAATTTATAAATATTAAAAAAAAATCTACGACAACAACAACAAAGAAACGGAAAAAGAGCAGAAGCAAAAGTATATTAAAGTTTTATTTCAGTTTTAAGCGAAAATAAAACAAAAAGTGATTTTTAGTTAGTTTCTCAAAATTTAACAAACAAAATTCACAACAAAATTTGGAATACTACAACAACAACAACAACAACTACAACTACTACACAGCAACAACAACAACAACCACTGCAACAACAACAAACAACAGCAACCAACCGACAACATTATAAGCAACAACAACAATTTATAATACAAAATATAAATAAAAATAAAATAAATAATAATAGAAAGTGAAACGTAACAATAAAAACAAATACAAGAAAAATAACATAACTGTAAACGAAATAAAACTATAAAAGCAACAAAAATAAGAAAATCAAAAATAAATACAAAACACAAAAATCAAAACCCGAAATAAAACCAAACACAAAAACCAATCCAACAAAGCAACAGAAACAGCAGCAACAACAACAACAACAACAACACAAAAATAGCAACAAATCGAAACGAAACCGAAATAGCCTTAAAACAAACAAAAATAACCAAAAACAAACAAAAGCAACAACAATATAAACCGATAGACCGATAAACCGATAACTAAAACAGCAACTGAAACAAAAGCAAAAAATAGAGACAGATTAAAACAAAACAAAAATAGAAAATAGCAACGAAACAGAAAAATACCGAAAAAAAAATCAGCAGCAGAAGTGAAAAAGCAAACAAAAATAAGAAATCAAAAGTCAAATTCCAAATCCAAAAGCAAAAGCAAACAAAAACAAAACGCAGAAAGCAAAACCAATATCAAAAGCAAACAAAAAACAAAATAGCCAAAATTTGTTAAATTTTTTTGTGTCTCATTAAAATATATTATAAAAAAAAGAACTAAAAACTTTTGTGTTACGGTTTTTCAATTTTCGTCTTTTAAATTTACGTTCGTAAAAAAGAAAATGTTCTGAAAAAGTCTTTGAGCAAAGCAAAAGCTAAAAAACAATTTTTCAAAACTTTGATGAAAACTAAAAAAAGGTGAACTGAAAAAGTGAAAAAAAGACGAAGCAAAAGAAAGAAGAAACAAAAGGAAAAACAAAAATATGAAAAAGGGTTCAAACCCTATTTAGTGTGTGTTTTGGCTAAGGAAAGCACCAGACAGTTTGAGAGGTATATATATATATCGGTAATATATATATAAAAACATATATATCACGAAAAAAAAAAAAAAAAAAACAAAAAACAATTTAAACTAAAGGCAAATATTCATATCGTGGCAAAAAAAAAAAAAAAAAAAACAATTTTCAAAGTAAATAAATTATTCGTAGTGCAGCAAGAAAATTAAGGAACAACAAAAAAAAAAACCATTCAGAAAAATCTAAAAAAAAAAAAAAAAAACAAAAATAAAAAACATTTTAAGCTATATATTAAATTGTATTACATTTATGATAAACATCATGAAAATTGAATTCAATTGAAAACCCACAACACACAACCCTAAAAATATAATAAAAACCAACATATTTGAGAATTTAAAAACAAACAGTTTTTTGGGCCAAATAAACAAATACTTAAAACAAAAACAACATTCCCCATTTCGGTATAATCCTTGGAACAGGAATTAGAGACGAACAGAAGAACAGCTAAATCAAACATTTTGGGATTGAACAACTGGTAAGTACGGGACTTTTTATTTTTCAATATGAAAGACAAGAACTTCTTGATAATTATATAGCATTAGGTATATAAATATAATATAAATAAATATAATATATAATAATATATATATTTTTATATATATAATATAAACTTAAAAAAAAATATATATATATATAGTTTTTATATATATTTATTTTTTTTTTATTTATTTAATTTTTATATATTATATAATTTACGTTCAAATAATATTTATTTTCAATCAAAATATAAATGATTTATTATATTAAATAAAATATTTATAAAAATCTACAACAAAAATATTACTCAAATATATAAAATCTATATATTTATTTAGAGAATGTTAATATTTCTACGAGAATATAAACTTCCTATGAATATTGCAAAATCATAATTGCCGCAAAAAAAAAAAATAGTTATTCTCGAATTTATTGATAATGTCACAGATCCATAAAAAAACCACATATTAATAGTTATGATAGCTTTGCCCCACGCCCCAAAAGTTTTTCGGTATGCTCTGTCATATATAATTCTTTGATACCGCAATTTAATAGCAAAAATAATAATAATCATTAAAAAAAAAAAAAAAAAAAAAATGGTACAGACTGATGCAAAGCATTAAAATACGCATCAACTGTGCGAGCGAAATAGATAGAGCGCCAGTGGTCAGCGGCGCATTGTGCGAGAGAGATGGCGACAATGCGCGCCAAAAAGCACGCAATGAAAATATGAAAACGCCTATTATATAAGAGAGACTCTATATACAGTATATAAATGTGTATGTGTGTGTGTGTGTGTGTGGCTCATCTACATACATGCAAATTGCATTTACGCGCAAAAAATTAATTATTGAAAAAATTGCGCGAGCCGTGGCAGAGGCTGAGGCAGCAGCTGAGGCTGAGGCTGGGGGCGGGGAAAGCGAGAAAGGGTAAATAACCATGGCACCCAAGCACTCACCCACCCCAGCGTTAACTCTGCTGTGTGGGGCCAGTGGGCTGTGGTCAGCGGGCGTGGCACTGCTGCCGCTGCCGCTGCTGCTGCTGCTACGGCTGGCAATTGAAAATCGAAGCACAAGAGTCGAAAGGATGAGCGAACAGCAAAAAGAGGAAGCATTACACATATTTTTTAAATGAATTGAAATAAAATTTCGTACATAAAAATGGGCATACGTGTGTCTGCATGCGTGTCTGTGCATGTGTGTGTGTGCGTGTACATAAAAGTACAGTTGACGCCATACAATTTGAGCAGCAAATGGCAGCAGCAGCAGCAGAGCCTCTGCCCAGGGTTGAGAGTGCGAGGGGTCAGGGCTTACGGGTTGGTCACTCAGCATCCATTTGACATGACAGACCAACGACTGTGGTCTGCACACACACACACACACGCACGCACATGCCTGTGTGCGTAAGTGTGAAAGAGACTGACTGTCTGCAGTACGTATTATAGACATTTGCTACGCCTGCCACCCACGCATTGCAAGTAGCTGCAATTTCAAGTGGTTTATCTACCATTGGCCACCCACTTCATATACATATGTATATGTGTATCTCGATAATATGCGTGTGCGTGTGTGTGGAATGTAAATCAGGCAGAAGTCACCCTAGTTTAGTTAATTGACTAAATCTAATGCTGATCCAGTAATTCACTTCATTTTAAATACTGTAAAAATTATGAAAAGTTAGATTTTCATTTAATTCTATTTATTTTTTTCTTAATAAATTTGAACAATAAATCATAGTAAAAATTCAAAAAAAAAAATTCAAAAAAATTACAAATATATAAAGGTGTTTTTAATAGTTTATTTTAATAATATTATTTAGGAGTTTTTTTTTTTTTATAAAAAATTTGAAAAAAAAAGTTGCTGCAAGCTGTTTATTTCAATTTTAACTTAATTATTTATACGTCTATCCTTTCGGTTTGATTTCTCTTTTTCTTTGGTTCATGACAGTTTAGCAGACTCTCGATGACTTAACAACTCTATAGTTAGGTATCGATAGTTTTATAGTCAAGTATCGATAGGAAGCTACAGTGCTATCCCCTCTAGCTGCCACTGAGCTACTAAAAAATATAGAAAGTTTTTTTTGTAGTATTTTTTTTAGTGTTTCTAATTGATTAGAAGTGAGTTTCGTATTTTTTAGTGTTTATAATAAGGGGCTCTACATAGGGCAGACTACTAAACTTAGACACAAACAGCTCTATCAATTCTCCTGCCTTTAAGTTATATTTCTAGGTTGCCATGGATCCTACATTCATAGATGCGTTAAAGTCTTGTCATTATTGACAACTTTCATGTGCATCGTTTTTAATGTTTTAGTTGTCTTCTTCTTCTCTTTTCGTTACTCTGCTCTGTTCGCCCTGTTCTACTCTGTTTTTTATTTCCGCTGCGTTGGCAGTTGGCAGCAGCAGCTGCAGCAGCACTTGCGAAAAAAACAGCAGCACCACCCGCACCACCTAAACGAGCCGAAATGAGAGGCATCCAAAAAAAAGAGGGTAAAAAAAGAAAACCGCACACTTTGTGCTTTTTCTTTTTCGTCTTCTCTTACGCTTTTTCGGCTACATTCTTTTCCATGCCATTTCGTTAATTTTATTGCAGCTGCTGCGAAATTTTCATTTTCTGTTTCCACATTTTTTTTCACCAAAAATTTCTTTTCTTTTTCCCCATTTTTTTTTCTGCATTGTCATTGAGCGCAACTACATAGAGCAATCGAATCGTATATAGATGCGGAGTCTAGAGCAAACGTGACATATCATTACCCGCGGCTAAATACCCATAGGGGCTGGCAGGGGGCAGGGGGAGTGGCAGCTGGGCAACTGTCAGTGTTTTTTTTTGTTTTTCTTCATGTCTATAACATCAAAAAACATTGTAAAATCGTTTTCATTTTGTTTTTGACCAGCGAAGGTTTTTGCTCGTGTGGCAGTGGAAGGGGGGAGGGAGAGAGGGCAAGAGGGTGGTTCTGTACGTTGTCGAACATTTTTCGTAAGAGATATACGACATGTTCTGGTAAAAAATAATTAGGCTTTGAAGAGATAAAAGTCAAGAGATTTAGATATAGGAATTTATAAAAATGACAATTAATTAATTAATATATATGTTTAAGTTCATCAAATGATTATATTAAATAATAATTATTAAATA